CCAGCGGAAGAAGTGGAAAGTTTTGGGACATTACGGTTTCCCAGTGGAAGAAGTCACGCCACTTTGGGACATTACGGTTTTCTCTGCTTCTGGAAACTCTGACGGTATCTAATAAATTGGACGGCTGGGAATGAGGATGCTGAGGAGGCCAAGAATGATAATGAATGGGGTGAGGATGCGGTTGTCGGATGGCGGGGGCCTGGCATGGTCATGGTGCAGCAGGGCATCCTATATTGTAAAATAATAATAATAATAATAATAATAATAATAATAATAATAATAATAATAATAATAATAATACAGGAGAGGAAAGTAAAAATAACATTTGAAGATGTTAGTCATAGGCCTGCATTTTGTTGTTCTTATTTCGGATGGTAAATGAATTGGCAATGAGGATTGTGCAAGCAAGTTAGCAACGGAGGAGAATTCAATCCCTCCATCTCTGTTCCCCGTTTTCACATCTTTTCCCCAGCCTCACGCTGCCAAGCTAATGCAAGAAAGATCAAATCTGATAAAAAATAACCCTTTTCCTATCACTGGGTAGCTGTTAACCACCAGCCAGGATGCTAAAAAAGACTCTATAACCCACTTTGGCTATAAGGCAGCTGGGCATTGCAGTCCAACAACATCTGGAGGGCTGCGAGTAGCCAACTTCGGCTGCAAAACAAGGTGTTTTCAGAGACCATTTTGACTCATCTCCACCAGAGAAAGGCTGGAGGTTTGCCAAATGTGGGAGCTCTGCAAAACCAACAGACTGGCCATGAAAAGAGCTATGGGCCCTGGACCTTGATACCGAAACTAAGGGCTAAAAGGGATTTCCAGGGTCAGCAATGTGAATTAAAAACATGGGGTGTGTAATCCTCTTGTTCCAGAACAAGCACGGAGGAGGACTCTGATGGCACAAACTGTTTCTTTCCACTCCTTTTAGTGTCTGTGTGAAATGGGATGATGCCCTTCCTTGTCAATCACGACTGAAATATTATCCATCGTCCCCCAGAATGAATGCTGATGAACCTTTGGGGCTGTCTGGAAAACTGTCTGGGCTGAAAGCTCCCAAAATGTGAGGACAAGAATGGCAAGTGTGTGTCTGTGTCCATGTGCAAAAAAGCAGGGTGTGAGCTGAATCCTATTGTTGATCTCCGCTAGAGGAGAGCCATTGACTCAAGGGGATTTACCTCTGGATCATGATGGGCTCAAATGCTCTCTGGGAACCTCAGGGTGGCCCTACAATTTGGGCAGATGGGGGCCACCTACCTAAGCCCCCAGACCCTTCCCAGAGAGGCTACTCCTGCCTTGCAAAGGTGGCAAACCAGAGAGGGAAGGTGGCAACTTGCTGGTTTCTTGCACAGCCACAAATTCACTTTCCTCTAAAGCAGAGTGTGCACATTCATTTCAAGGTTGAAGGCAGTTGCACATTGCACATGGATGCACATATTTAATCATTGTGCATCACACATCCATGCTCTTTGAGGTGAATTGTGCATTCGCTGTGCTTTCTGGGAAGCCTTGGTGGCTATGGAGTAACTGCACTGCTGATCAACAGGGAAGTTACACGGCATTGTAACTTTGCAGACCTGATGGTCACTGGTGTGATCTGGCACAGCTGCTAAACTGGTGTGAATTTAAATTCTGTGAATGCTGGGTGAGCATATTAGCCCAGGGTGCCTTTAAAAGTAGGGGTCCTTTGGGGATCTGCCTTCACGCCCTTCAGCAATGCTTTTTCCTCCCTGCTTGGTTCCCATTAAGTTTCCATGGTAAGATGCTGGGATATTAAAGCTGTGGCTTTCTTGAAACTGCTGCCCAAATTAGATTTCGCTCTCCATCCGGGAAGGCTCTTTCTTCTGAGCCACTTGCGCTGCTGACCCCCATTAAGAGGCCAGGAAGATACATCCATGCGCTCATTGATGCAGCCTCCAGAGATGCCCTGGCCTGGTGCGGTGAACTCTGGACGTGATCGGCAGAGGATGTGAGATCATGGGCAATTTGAGAACAGGCCCCATGTTCCCCTGGCCGCCACCGATCAGCTGCGGGAAATGGAGCCCTTGGGAACAAACCTCATTAATAATAATAATAATAATAATAATAATAACAATAATAATAATAATAATAATAATAATAATAATAATAATAATAATAATAATAATAAATTTTATTTATAGCCCGCCCCTCTGCGGAGCAATCGAGGCGGGTTACATCAATTAAAAAACAAAAGATACAGAAGTTAAAAGCAATCACATACCCATCCAACCCTCCCACCCCTTATAACAGTATTAAACTAATTATCATTACAAGGCCGAGCGCAGAGGGGTGGGCTTGGTTGTCTCTGGGGGGCCCTTTACAAGAAGACAATGGCATCACTGAAGCAGCACTCTGGATGTGTGCCTTGGAAAGGCAGGCAGGCAGGCAGTAAGGAAGGAAGGAAGGAAGGAAGGAAGGAAGGAAGGAAGGAAGAGAGGAAGGAAGAGAGGAAGGAAGGAAGGAAGGAAGGAAGGAAGGAAGGAAGGAAGGCATTCTGAGCTCCCATCAGCTTGCCTTTGGACTGATCCTTGTGCTGGAACTGGCTGACTACCATCTTGGACTGCATCCTCACTGCTGAAATAATCTGGTTTGGCACTACTTTAACTGCCATGGTTCAATGCTATGAAATTCTGGGAAGTGTAGTTTGTTGTGGCTCCAGAGCTCCAACTTAGGGTGACCCTAAGGTCATGGGGTTTTCTTGGCAAGATTTGTTCAGATGTTTGCCATGGCCTTCTCCTGAGGCTGAGACAGTGCAACTTGCCCACGGTCATCCAGTGGGTTTTCATGGCCAAGCCAGGAATCGAACCCTGGTCTTCATAGTCCAACACTCAAACCACTACGCCACACTGGCTCCGTAAATATAATACTCTGTGTGCACATGCACACATCTGTGCGTACGGTTTAATTAACAATAAATGTATTACAATATCATATCTTATATACATCTGTCCGTATCCATCCCTCTCCTTCCTACTGAGTGAAATACTTGTGCACTTTGAAGTCCACTTGCAGCAGCTGAAGAAAGCTGAAAGTGAAGGGGGAAAGTGGGACATTTTAAAAAGTTTTAACTAGGACTGTCTCTGGCAAAAGGGAACCTGTAGGGTATGCTTTTTAAGGAATTACCAACCTGACACAGGACTCTTGTCTGATTCTGGAAGTGAAATAGGGTTGGAATTGGTTCGGACCTGAATGAGAGACCACCAAGGAATATTGTTATCTTTTTCCTTTCTTGGGGAAAGGGCAGGTTATAAATAAAGTTGTTGTTGTTGTTGTTCTTGTTGGGTGGGACTAATGCTCTGACCCAGCTATAGCTTTGCCAGAAGGTGTCCAAGCCTTTCAAGCCAAGAGAGCCGAACAAAAGTCTGTAACAAAATCCTTGCAAGAAAGAGCCTTTGAGCCGGATCAGTCCCTGGGACTGGAAGCAAGTCCTGAGCCGCCTCTGAAGAGTCCACTGTGGCCTTGGGAAGAACCTGCCCTTTTCTTCTCCCACCCAACCCACTTTCTCGCCTCCTTTCCATTCAAGCAGCGGCCGGTGTTGCTTTCTCCGCCTTGGCAGTGGCCCAGCCCTGAGCAAACCTGGCAGCTGCAGCAATAAATTACGCCGGATCAGCCAAGCCTCCCCTCTTCCTCCCTGACTTTAAAAGGGAAGAGGATCCCAGTCTTGTTTCTCCCTTCCCTCCATCTCTGTTGAGCCACAGAGAAAGGCTCCTTTATGTCCCTGAGAGGCCTTGCCACTGGGCAGACATGGGCTCCCTCCCTTGTGGAAAAGGAGATGACCCTTTGGGGCATGGCTTGGCCAGCCATCTGGGGCTGGCGGGGGGCCAAGGGCGAGAGGAGGGTGGGCTGGCGGAGAGGCGCCAGGAAGCGAGAATAGGGTGCCGAGGAGATCGAGGGGAGATGGGCACAAGCCACAGGGCCAGATGCGGAGGACGGAGGACAATCGGGGCCTTGTCCGGTTTGCATGCACCTTCTCCATTCCGTTTGCTGGAGCAAAATCTTCTCCGCAACAAAAGACACCCACAACCCCACACCAGACAAGCAGGGCATTGAATGCAGATTCTGCCTATTGCAAATGCTGACCCATGCCATCCAGACCAGAAGACAAAACGAGGAGGGGCACTGTTCAACCAGCCGCCTCTGAGGCAGGAACTGGGAATTGTCTAGCCCTTCTCCAGATCTTCTTGAACAGCAGCTCCCAGCTTTCCTCCTCCTTGGCTATTTTGGCTGAGGCACATGAGAGTCACGCCCCAACAACACCTGGAGGGATGCACATCCCTGCTCCAAAGGAGACTTGGGCTGAGATCCTACGTCAAGGAGGACTGGGTGCAATTTTATGCTTCACAGAATTGCACAATGAGTGTGCAAGATCCCATGAGGGCTCCTTCCTTCCATATATTCCCAGAGTTAACCTGTTTGTAAGCCAGTTCCCATCTGATCTTGGAAGCTAAGCAGGGTCAGCCTCTCTCCCAGGAGTTTCTCCCAAATGTTTTGGGGTTTCTCTGGGTTACCCAGGATGTTCTTAAAACATAATGCAAGACCAACATCTGCTAGAAGGCAAGAGACACCCCAGCAGATGATGCTGATGCTCTGCTGTCACAGCTACAAAGTTTCTGGCTTCAGGATCCAAGGCCAAAGCCACTCAATGGGATCCTTGGGGCTGTTCTGCAGGCATTTCTCGTAATTGAGCAAATCCTAACAAGTGTGCATTAGCTTCCTCCTGGCAGCTGTACTTCTCCCTACCTGCCAGGAAGGGTTGTCAGTTTCTGGTCACTTCAGGTCACCCCAAGGGAGGAAGGG